CATCAAATCTGCCAGGCTGAGGACGCAGGAATTAGGGCCATGACACAAACACTCCATGTCTTCTGTTGGACTTGAACACACCACTAGGTTACATGTGACGTCCAGCTAACAGCTAATGTACACGTATGCTCAGGGCCTGCAAGAGAGGAGATGACTTGTCCCATATCTGTATTATATATATATTATATGTTTAAACTAAAAAAAAGAATAACAAAAGGCCAAGCAAATCCCTCAAAATAACAAGCAACATACAAAACTAAATTAGATTGTTTTAAGATGAAGGTAATCAGAATAAATCAGCATCAGTTTATTTGTCCTGGGGAATTGGATTCCATGGCAGTTGTTCCAGTTCAGATAAATTAAAAAAGGTAAATAAAAGCCTCAGGTCTGCTGCAGATTCAACATGCTGAATCACCGATATGAGCAAACGGCTGACTCTCACAGCTCCTACTCTGCCTGTGAGGCCAGAGGATTCTCCTCTCTGCATGTTTTCTGATAACACCATCAACTCTGAGGTTATTATTATAGTCTAAGAACAATCTAAGGGGACCCCGAGGTATGATATACTTTAAAACACACACTTAGAGAGGGAATCCCCTATTTGATCAGAAGGGGAGAGGACACATCATTGAACGTGATTTTGATGCCCATTCTTAGCTCAGCACGGACATCATAACAATAACTTATTTTCTGGATGCTGTCCCGGCCAACAGGAACCATGTTTTCCATAACATCCCTGATGCAAAATAACACAATTGGATCATAAATATAGTACTTTTCACATTTCTTTCACCGGGTAGGTTTTAGATTTCTGACTCCAAATATACCTCACTTTGAAATAACTTTATCACATTCGGGAAATACATCTTGACCGCAGTATTGGAATTCATTTGGTTCTGAAATCTTTACATTGGCTTCCAGTCGGCCAAAGAATTGATTTTAAAGTACTATTGCTAGTTTTTGAATCATTACATGGTTTAGGACCAAAGTATATTGTTGAACTCCTACATAATTACGAGCCATCAAGGTGCCTCAGGTCTTCTGGGACGGGTCTGCTATCGGTTCCGAGAGTAACAACAAAACATGGAGAGGCAGCATTTAGCTGTTATGCCCCGACACTCTGGAACAAACTGCCCAAATCATGCACGTCCGCAGAAACGCTTACTATTTTTAAATCGAGACTAAAAACATATCTCTTTGCCGCTGCTTTTAATTGAGATGATCATATTCGAACTACAGTATGCCTTTTAAACATGTATTGTATACCTGTGGTGTTTATTTTTATTATTTTTATTATCTTTGCTTTGTAATGCCTGTTGTAAAATGCCATTATATAATGTGTTTTTACTGTATTTATTTATTCCTAAAAAGTATTTGAATTTGTTTTGTAAAGCACTTTGAATTGTCGCGTACAGAAAAGTGCTATATAAATAAACTTGCCTTGCCTTTGTTCAATTTGCACACGATCAAACAGAATCACACCATCTACTGCAGCAAACTCACAACAACCTGCTGTTCTGGTGAAGGGACCTATTTGTAGAAATCACAGACCCCCCCTGAAAGCTCTAAATCCCTGACCTCGCCTGTCCAAATTAAATCCCTTTTTTTGTTTATTTTGTTGTTAAAAAAGAAAAAGATAAAGTTCACAATGTCTGCTGAAGCAAAAGAAAGCCAGATGTGTACTCCCTTAACACAGGAGTGGTCGAAATGCATTAACTTGTCTTTTTTTATTTTTTTAATATGTTTATTGATTTTCAGCTTACAAAAAATCACATACATAGGACGAAGACATAGAGCCAAAAGCAATACATATATACACAGGACAACTACTTTACATTAAAGAAAAGTAGCAACACTAAATTAAATTGGTACATACCACAAGGGCACTCTAATACATCGGCAACCATCCAGTTTTCCAGCAATAGGACCGTATTTCTACAGAGGATATCAGTCATTTACATTTGACCATATTATAGCATATTATAGAATTATCGCATTATCCTGCCCCAGTTTCGTTCAGAAATTGAGATAGGTCGTTGTTCTTGGTGTACTCTATAAAACGCATTAACTTGTCTTAGTATTAAATTCAATTATTATGTTTTCAGTTTTCTTTTGTTTTTGTCAGCAGGATTAGAAAGAAAGTACTAGCATGATTTGCATGAAACTTGGTGGAAAGGTGACGCACGGGCCAAGGAAGTACAGATTTGATTAATGGGGAAAAAACCGTTTTACACTTAACATTGCCAAAAAAGACTGTTGGCCTTCAAAATGTATGTGCTCTGCGAGTGTCTCTGTAGTAATGGTTCTTGTGATGCTTGGGGCAAAACTTGTCTAACCTCTTCTCCTATCTGCATTTCCAAAGTGCATCACATTGCACATTCTCCAGCAGAGTTCCCCTGATCTTAATCCTCTTGTTGACGCTGCACCTGCACCAGCATGGGCCTAACTGCTGTCTGATCAGCCTCGTCTTCACGCTTGGCACAGGAACAGCTTTTCTTCCTCTCTGTCGAGGGAGGTGGGGGGGGCTCGCTGTGTGTCCCCAGCCTGCAGAACTGCTGACCAGGCGAGGGGATCCGATGGTGTCGATGGTGTCGATGGCTGATTAAAGGGTCTCAGCGTTGGGGTGGGACCGGTGCATCCGCTGCCCGTCTAATTACAGACTTAATGAATCCTTAGATTTTGCAGAAGTGGGCGGAGGAGCCCCCAGAGAGGAGCCAGAGAGCAAGGCTTCATAAATCAGGCTTCACTTTACCCTTTCATTGCCTGCCCACAGAGGTGAACACACACATTAAGTTTTGTGAGGAGGTTGTTCAGGGGCAAAACACAACCAAAAGGGGTCAAGGTGACTTGTACCTGATCACTGCGGCTTACGTCTGGATACGTCCCTTATGATGTACCGTGACAAGACAATACAGAGAGGGCCACCTTCATCTCAGACAGAGACTAAAGAAATGTAATCCTGGCCCACCTTCATCATACCCCCGAGTGGGTGGATTAGCAACAGAGGGCAGTGACGGCGGGACAATATGGAGGGGCCAAATGCATTATCTTTGCATAATAACAGGGCTATTCTTAGCTGTAGAATACAGGAATATAGTTGATATAAGTATGTCAATCCGTTATTAGCAACTAAAAACGTATTTCTGTGTTTTACCTGGCACATACGCAAACTTATATTAAACAAAGGTTGTCAAACCTCGAAAAACACTGGCTTTATACAAATAAAATGCTTAATCTTCTTCAATAAATGCCTTTCTCTGTAAAATGGCCATTCATTTCCACTTTTGCAAACAAACCAAAACATATATAGCTTTATATAACCATATATGAGAAATTAGCAATCCTCACGTTGGCCGACTGAAAAAACACTAGAGAAAAAACAAAATCACTTATCAAAATCCTTGCAGCATTATTTTCTGTCAATCTTTGTAAACAACCAATTATTTCAGCTCTAAATGTTGCTACAATGTTTTTAAATGTATCGTAGTAGGAACTGAGTAAAAACGAGGACCCTCGAACAGAACAAACACAGAGCCATAGCTCTACTTAAGGTCTACCGCTCCACGGGGACCCTTTAATGTCAGGAGTGTCCTGCTGACTCACTACTGTAGGAATGCAAAGTGAACGTGAACTTGTGTTATCAGTGGGTGGATGAACTTCAAGCTCTCCCTCCTCAAACGCTGCTGCAGTGAGTCACAGGAACAGTCCCAAAGTCTGTGCACCAACCCAAGTGACTGGCTTCTCTATTACAAACCTGTGACGTATCTATCTGGTAGTATTGATTTCTCCTTTGACGGCAATAAATAGTACATTCTTAAAGATAAATATGTGGAGGGACAGGAGCAAAGGGCAACCGTTGTATCACTGTCACAGAGTTCACAAGCCATAATGACCTGGTATAAATATACTAATCTAAAGTCTACTCACTATTACCGAATGTTGGAGACAGTATGGGTTTCAGGAAGCAATCACTGGCATATCTTTCGGGAGTTTCCAGTGATAAGGCCTTCCTTTGCAGAGATTCACAGAGCACTCAAAAGCTTAATAAACCCTAATCTGCTCTACAATTTTCCACATGACTTTCAGGACATTTTCAGGGAAGGCATCCAGATGAATATTTGTTTGGCATTTTAACAGCCACTTGTATACAAAGTGCTCAAAAGGCACTTGTTACTTTCAAACTGAGTGGATAGATATAGTACATTTATGTTACAGAAGACATTACCACTTCTTCTGTTTGTCTTCAACGTTGTGTTGTGTGCAGGTATCCAATGAATGAAACTGTCATATTGTTTTACATAGCAAACATAATTCATTCTTATCCTATGTTCTCTCAAGCCCTCCCAAGACTTAATTGTCTTTGTACATTTAGAAGTTGTAATGAAAGTAAGAAAATATGTGGAAGATGGAAGAAATAAAACAGCTTTTGTCCTTAGGTTTTCTCTTGCAATATAAACTGCCCAAAGTGAAATAAATGAATACATTTTTAAAGGTGGGGTAGGTAATTTTGAAGAAACCAGCTCGAGTGCGCTAGAATTTGAAAATACACAGCCGTAAAAAATCTGCCACTTCCTTACAGAGCCCCTCCTCCAACACACACGAACGCGCACATGACCAATGAGGGCACGAGATAAGTTTGTGCACAGATGGAAGGCTGACAGGCAGGTAGGCCATCCAGTTACTTTAGCCGGGCTTCCACAGATACATTTCTTTATGGATTTTTTGTCAAAGCATTTAAGATATTCATTGCTATCTGGATGTTAAGAGCATTCCATGGAATATAACAAAAAGTGTATCTCGAGCCAGTTTCTCAAACTTACCTACCCCACCTTTAATGTCACAAGACTACCAACCTCAGGTTTCACTTATTCCATGATGTAATGTGCCGCACTTTATTTGCATGTGGGCAGCAGGAAACCTTTGCATAGTAAAAATGGTTCTGGCGTTTCCCTCTCATGAGAATAAACCAGGTGGATGCAGTGAATCACTTGTATTCTTACCTGTAGTGTACATGTGTGATTGTAGGAGGTCTGTAGCCAAAGATCCAGGTCTGGATGTCCATGGGTCTCGCTTTGGGGTAAGCTATGGTCACGTCTACTACCCACTGCAGGCCTTTACGTTTATTACCTATTGGAGAAGAAACACAAATAAAGGAAGTTAGGACACAACTGAAAGGTAGGGATATAGGCGAAAAACATGCTCAGGTTTCTTCAGTTTTTTAGGTAAGGCATACTTAATACTCCACATTGAGAAAAGCCCATTATGAACAAGGCTCTTAGGTTAAGGAAAAACAGTAGGAAGAGATTCAAAGACACTTTAATGGTCATCCAGATGAAAAACTGAGTTTATAATAAAAAATAATGGGTCACAGTAAAAGACACATTTTCAGCTAAAAAGCTAATCTTTCATATAACCTGGGCAACATATCCATATAATATTGATATTGTGATACATATGTTCTTAGATTTTGGATATCTTGATGTTATAAGTATTGTCTTTCTCATGTTTATAAGTAGACATATAATGCTAATGTTCAGGTAAAGAAACTGAGAGTGAAATTCCTTCACACTACAAGAAAGAGGATAAAAACCCAAAAAGCATAATAGAACTTCTAAATGCAGCATTATAGTAAAGTGATGGCATTCTCTGAATTGTTTCCATTACATTACAAAAAAAAAAAAAATTACATTACAGATAAAAACTGTAAAATAAGAGACTAGCGGATTCATGGCAGGCTAAGACAGACAGGAGGAAGAGAAGTGAGACAGGACGTGAAGGTTGACAGATGGGAGGGGGGATGCTAAACATGTGATACATATCTGTCAGCTGCAAGGCTACATGTGTGAGAGTATTTATGTACATCATGAGCTCTCTGGCATGTCTCCACAAATCAAATGAAACATAAAAACTTCTACATTCAATGTCCACAAATATTCAAACTAAATACTTATTGGATTCACGGACAGATAAAAGACTAAGAAAAGGCTTAAGCCAGACAACGTATCTATAGAGAGCCGGTATGATAATATATTTGAAATCTTTGTAATAGAAAGTATCACCTCCTGCGTGAGGCTTCAGGAAATTACATTTCGGAGAAGTGAAATGAAATGTGTTTTTGCACAGAACGTCCTTGTTTTTGTTTAAATGTGTTTTAAACATTTTTTTAAATGAAAAACATCCCATTTTATTTGTTTGTTTTGTATGATAACATAGTTAAATGATGAGGTTCTGTAACGGTATCTGACTAAAGATGACTCTGCGAACTACTGCTGTAAAATCCCATATAAAAAGGACAACAGAAGGAGATGTCTGTAATTTCTCTACATCCTCGAGCCTGTTATTTATTGCAGGACTGAAGTACATCAGACATTAGACATAACAGGACTCAAACATTACTGTGTGTGTGTGTGTGTGTGTGTTGTAGGAGCAAACACAATAGTGGTGGCTTAAAGCCCACCTCTGCTCCGCGCCGTCCTTTAGATGAGCCTGGTCAGATTTAATAAAAGAAGGAGTTCAAAATACCGGCATAAAAGTTATAACAATAATCTGATTTTAATACAGTAAAAAACACAATACGAAATACAGAGTGCCCTGAAACAGAGCACTCCGGGCTCCCCGCTCTACTGCCGTGCGATACAGATATCGGGACCAGCCAGTCAGAAACAGGGAGCATTTTGCATGAAGAAACAACAGTATATATAGACATATTTGGGGCGGAGAGTCACTTCTTATCTTCCACCGGACTCAACTCCTTTACTTTCCCAAGGAAGGTTTCACACAAACTATTCTTTCCCAAACAATCAAACATTGTACACAGATATATTGGTATCAAACATTGTACACAGATATATTGGTGCTTGGGATTATATTGGCCCCCAGAAAGAACCTTGAAAAAGAACATATGTGTGTGTTGGTGAGGGGAAGTGTATGTGTGTGTGTGTGCTGATAAGCGGAGGCATATGTGTTGCTGATATCTGGGTCAAGGAGTTTATGTGTGTGTGCTGGAGACAGGAGGTGTATGTGTGTGTGTTGGTGATATCTGCCTTATGGAGTGTCGGTAAGAAGGTTTATATATATATATATATATAGGATTACTTCAAAACAGTCCCAAATAATACATGTTCACTTCAATACAGTTCAAGATAATACCGGTTTACTTTAATACAGTTTAGAACAATATCTGTTTGCTTTAGTGTGGGTGCTTTGACAGTAAGGATGCAAATATATTTTATATTATGTCAATGTGTGTGACTTTAAGGAGTGATGAGAGAAAACAAGAGCTGATCCACTTCCACAAAACAGTTTAAACCCAAATTGGACAAAAGCTACACGCTTCTCCTCGCAATTAGCATTAGAGCTAATCCAAACAAATCTTAGACCTGACTTTGTACTTAATGCACAGATATGAAACAACCTTTAGACCCAACTGTGAGCTTTGACAGCACACAACCTGAGACAGCATTAACTAAACGCTGACGTTTTCCTGTTAGCTGAACAAGCTTGTCAAATGTAAAGCAGAAAACATCAGCGGCTTCATTCAGCACAGACAGATCTAAAATCAGCTCGATGTAAAGCAGTGCATTTTTTGATGCTTGCCTAATGTCACAGGCTGCTGTTACTGTGCAGCGAACACTTCCCTCTCCGAGCAAACAGACTCCTTTATGCAAAGTCAACATGCCAGGCCCGTGTGACAAAGTGAAGCTACATTTTCACAACCGATCAGCTACGTTAACTTTACAAACAGTCGAGAGTCAACAGCATTTCAACATGAGAAGTTTCTAACAAGTCCTAATTTAGATATCTTTTCCAATAAGATTCAGAAAAACGTGAATGATTTAAAGAGTGCGTTAGAGATACAGAGTTCCTTTGATTTCAGGTACTCTCTGTTCATGCCTGTGAGTCTAAATCACCTCATCAGTTACAGTCCAATCCAAAGAGACAATGCAACCCAGTGAACAAGAACATGTCATGTGAATGCTAGTTATTTGGAATAATTGGAATAAAGGGTTAGGCAAAGTAGCAATATGAAGCACAAAACAATCCCCTTTGTCTGCCTTTTTAGATTTACAGCTGTTTGTACTGTGGCAGCCATGCCTTTCATAACTCTTGGTGTATTGTACCTGTTGCAAATCAATCAGCCGGACTGCTTTATGACAATATGGATATTGGATGTGTGTATCTACTAGATTCATTACTGTATTATACTTCTCATGGGGCTTCAATGTTGTGTTTTCCCGTGCTATATATTATCTATTTTCGGATTTTTGATCACTACGATTGGATTTTCTTGTCCAACCCTGTTTCACTGTTTCTTTATTGCTTCTGTACAAGAAACCAAATGCCTCAACTAGTCCTCAGCCTTTTTTGGAAGTGTGTTTAGCTCATGGTAAAGCTAAACAGCTACATGAAAAGGGAGGGCAGAAGCCAATGAATGACACCTCTGCTCCTAAAGCTTGTTTTACTTTACCACAAGTGAAAATTACATCAGTTCAACGTACAGTAACATACAGAGCAAGTCAAGAATGGAAATCATTGCCAAATTAAATTACACAAAAAAAATCTAAATCGCTGCGAAAGCATTTTTGAAAACACTTGAATTGTTTATAATCTCCTATAGTGTGTGAGGGTTTTAAAGGGCCTTCTAAACTGATATTTATGTTAGAGTCAGCTAATCCAGTCTTTATTATGTATTTTTATTACCTAAATTATGGAAATTCTTTATGTTTTATGTAGAGTAGCATTGCATCACTGTGTGCTATGGTTGTGTTTTGTTAAGAGTAATGTAAATGAATATTTCTATATAGTCACCACGTAAACTGTGTTGGAAGAAAAGCTGCAAAAGCAAGTGGGGATCTAAACAAACAAACAACTGAAAACAATTCCCAATTCGGGATTAATAACGTATATCTTATCGTATCAAACTAACTAACTTATACTGGAAGGGCAAACGCCGAGGCACATGCTGCTGGTTAATTTATACCAAAATTAGAGAGACTTGATAGGCAGCCTGGGTATTGAGGAGACTGGCTAACACCAGCGTCCCTGTGTGGGTAATTGGATCTAGATATTTGTCCAAGTGTGCTGAAAGCCGGCCATCGTCTCCCACGAGCGGCCTGCCAGAGAACAGGGGCGCCGAGCCAAGGTATCACTCCTGTGACAAACAATACTGTAATAACAGGAGCCGTGGTAATTTAAAGTGACATCAGAGACGCCCTGCCCTTCTGTAAACAGTTAGAGGAAGGAAGCACACTGGCAGATCTCTGGCTCTCTATCAGGCCACTCTGCAGGCCAATTACAACACTTGAAATCCACCCACCGACTAAAATTGCCTCTGATTGGTCGGTGCTATCATACACATTTACCTGTGTTACGGCGCTACATTCCCACTCACAACTGTCAACTTTGCATATCTGCCAACTACATACACATGGTTTTATAGCCTTATCATATAGTTGCACAAAGAGCCTTTCTGCAGGCTGTGAGCCGCACTGGTGACCCGTGTGTTTTGTATCCGTGCCAAGCAGTGTATTTAGACCGGTTGGCATTGCATGGCTGATACACAGCGGCACACACATTTACATCAAATCCTATTTCCTCCCAGTGGCCCATTTGTCTGTGAGTGAGTCAGCAATCTCTGGGCAGCGCTGCAGAGCATCAGGGAGGGTCAGAGGGAGACAGAGCTGTGTCTTTGATCAGCCAGCCACACACACACAGGACATAGCGCCCTTGTGGGGGGGGTGTGTTTTCTTGCCCTAGGTTTTAATGCCATTAGCTAGATTCAAATGGAAGGACAAGCCCTACGGCAGCAACCAGCTTCCCCTCATCCTGCTGCTGGAACAGAGGAGAGGACACAGGGAGATAAAGAAAGAAGTGGGAGATGGACTGAAACAAAAGCAGGGGGAAATAAAATGTGACGTGTCAAGGATTGGCATGTCTAAAATGTTTCTAAAATCCCAATCCTGCCAGAGGTTATAAACAAAACTACTGCTGTCGTCATTGTTTGTTGACTTTGTAAAGGATGTGTTAGTGCTGATGCTGTCAGACACAGAGCTGCGTTAGCTAAAGCCACTTTCTCAATAATGCTGGCCCAAAAGTCTCTCCAAATTACTATTAACGCAGCACGCCCT